GGGGGGGGGGGCGGAAGATGAAACTGACTACCAATGCCAATTTTGGTAAACTAGAAAGGCCTTCACCAAGCCTTGCTGCATCAACACCAATATCTTCAGAAAGGCTAATGAAAACTTCCAGTGTTGGACATCTTAATATCAGGATAATGTCGTTTTTACAGTGACTTTCAAAGTTTTTTATTGTGATCAACAAAGGAAGACATTTGAGGTTGAGACCCAGAACACAGACATACATACAGGCAAACAAAACAAATGTTTCTTGAAGCAATAGTAAGCCTTCTTACTTGCTACTCATTCTGTGATAAGCTAGTGCATTGTAAACTATGCTGCTTGTAACCCATTAACTTGATTTCATCATCTGTAGTTTGAAAACAAAGAAACAATTATGTAGTAAACCTATCAAGAAATATCAGACCGGTCCAGCCAGGCGTGGCTCAGTAGTTGAGCATCCACCTAGGATCCAGGAGATTGTGATTCGATTCCCAGTCAGGGCACATGCCCGGGTTTCCAGCTCGATCCCCAGCAGGGGATGTGTAGGAGGCAGCCGATCAATGACTCTCTCATCATTGATGTTTCTATCTCTCTTTCCCTCTCCCCTCCTCTCTCTGAAATCAATAAAAATATATATTTTTAAAAGATACATACATAGTTGGTAAAACCGTAAAGAAAAAGGGAATAATTAACATAAAAATCAGGATGCTAGTTACCTCTGAGGGGAGGGAGGGGGAAACATCTGTAAGGAATATAAGAGGGAGTTTCTAAGATACTAAAGGTGCTCTGGGGCTTAACCAGGGTGGTATTTATTATTATTATTATTAAAAATAAATGGTATTTCCTACACTCTTCTGTATGAATTATATATATTATAATACATAAAAATAGCAGAGAAGATTACTGTAATTGCTTTATGATTCTTTATATTTTCTTGGTAATTTCCTTTATGGTTTGTTAACCCTCCTTGACTAATGGGGTCTCTTCAAGGACAGAGATAGAAATGTATCCAGTGTCATTCTTTTAGAATAGACTGTTATACAATTTTTAAAAAAATTGACTTGAGAGAGGGAGAGAGAGAGAGAGACACCAACTTGTTGTTCCTCTTAGTTATGCTTTCATTGGTTGACTCTTACCTGTGCCTTGGCCAGGGATCAAATCTACAACCTTGGTGTATTGGGACGGTGCTTTAACCAACTGAGCTACCTGGTCAGGGATACTGTTATACACATTTAAAGCTCTTCTAATGTTATCTGATATGTCCTTGAGGATAAATTTGGATTTTAGAAATCGTCAACTCTCCTAATAAAGTGTGTTCTTTAAATGGGGTAACTACAAATAACAGCAAATGATAGGACTATCCAATAGCAGAGGGTTGATTAAATTCTGGTTCATTCTCTGTAGTTATTCAAAAGAAGTCATGTTTTAAAATACCTTTTAAATTTATTTTATATATTTATTTACTTATTTTTGACAGAGGAAGGGGGGAGAGAGAGAGGTAGAGAGAGAGAGAAGCACCCATCAGTTGCCTCCTGAACACTCCCCAATGAGGGATGGAACCTGCAACCTGGGTATGTGCCCTGATGGGGAATCAAACCCACCACCTTTTGGTAAGAGGGACGACTCTCCAATCAGCTGAGCCACCTGGCCAGGGTGACTATCATTTCTCTTTAAAAATGTACAGTATGATATTATTCAGCTTTAAAAAGGAAGAGAATTGGGACACATACTACAACATAGATGAACTTTGATGATATTATACTGATTGAAATAAGTTGAACACACAATGGCAAATACTATATGAGTCCGCTTACATGAGGTACCTAGAACAGGCTAATTCATAAAAACAGAGTAGAATGGCTGTCGCCAGGGGCTAAGGGAATGGGGTTGAGAGTTACTGCTTAAAGAACACAGTTTCAGTTGGGGGAGATAAAAAAGTTCTGAAGATGGGTGATAGGGATGGTTGCACAATTTGAATGTACTTAATGCCTTATCTAAACTGTACACTCAAAAATGCTTAAAATGGTAAATTTTGTTACAAATCTTTTACTATTATTCAAATGAAAAGCAACATAAAAAGAAAAAAAATGATAGTATTATTTGATTTTTAGAAAGCTTCGGATAAATGCCTGAAAAGTTTTTATATGTGTCATGAGTATGTGTTTGTACCTAGATTTTATGACATAATTTGGGCTACTCGGGGACCTTTTTTGCTTTTATCCAGTTGTTACCTGTGTTCTCCTTAGAAAAAGATGTTAGGTAAGTTATTGTCAAGTAAGGGAAATGTTATTGGGAGCATTTTATGAATACATTTCAGGGAAATTTGAGATACCAGGTAACTAAATGCAGCACACTAACACTGTGAGTAAACGTGAAATTCACCCAGTTTGAATAAGGATATTATTAGGCAGAATCTTCCCTTTCCTGGCCTCTGCTACTCCATTCTAAGTGCTTGGCTGGGCAGTCACCAGAGTGGTTATTGGAGCTCACCTCCACGCTTGTGCAGGGGCTGGGTGGGGCCCGGAGTGAATTTAAGGTGTAACAGCAGTAAGCGCCTGTGATGTCAGAGCTGATTCCTGGCTCCTGAGTTCATCTTTATTATCACTTCCCTTAACCGGGTCCAAAAAGGACTACGTATATTTGTTTCTCTGCAGTTATAAGCAATAAAACAACAATTATCCTGGCAGTAAGAAGTTAACTAGTAAAGAGCAATCCTAATTTAAATCATGGCCCCTTCAGTTTACAATTAAGAAGTCAGCTCTAGGAAGAAAGAAACAATGGAAAAGGCTTTGTATATCCCTAGAAACGTCAAACCGCCCTCCAGCATTTAAGCTTCCCGGTTTCGAGAGGGTAGCTCCAGGGAGCCTTGCTATAACAGGGGTGTTGTATCTCATTGTCATCCTGTCTGAATTGTCCGTTTTCTTCACAGTGCAAGGTGAGGACAGAAGCACGGCGGAAAAATCTCCTTATTTTGATTTTGCATTACTTAACACAAGAAGGGTATGTTACATGACAAATTTTACAGGCATGATTCCTCTCTTTTTCTGACCTTTGCTTTTCCAGATATACCCTTTTAAAAGCAAGTAATAGACTTTATTTTTTAAGAGTGGTTTAATATTTACAGAAAAATTGAGCAGAAAGTACAGAGAGTTCCCATATGCTGGCAACCCCCTGCCCTGCCCAGTCTCCCCTATTATTAATATCTTGCATTTGTGTGGTGTGTTTGTTACAGTTGATGAACCAATACTGTACTTGGTATATTATTATTAGCTTAAGTCCACAGTTTACATCAGGGTTCACGCTGGTGTACGGTTTTGTGAGTTTGGACAAGTGCATACTGTCAAGTGTCTACCACTGTAGGATCATAGAGGACAGCTTCCCTGCCCTAAAACCCCTGTGTTCTACCGGTCCCTGCCCCACCCCCAGCAACCTAGATGTTTTTGCCTCATTTACCTAGATATTTTCCAAATTATGCCCATGAAAACTTCGTTAACAAAGCTACCCAGTTCATGTGATACACACCTTCTCCCTTTCAGGTTTGAAGAGTGCAGGCCTTTACAGTGAGCTTCCCGGGGTCCCACTGCTGGCTGTGTACACAGAGACAATGCTCTTAACCCTCAGTTTTTCTTCCTTCAAAATAAAAATATTGCACTTGCCTGAATGACCTATGCTCAGCTCTTTTCTGTGTAATGCCCATCCTGTAACTGGCAAGGGGAGGAAATTTGGCCGCTTATCTGTTATGGCCTGAAGGGTTCACTGTGTATTAACAGCATGCATTTCCTCTTTCTGCCATGAGATGGCCCCTTGCATCTCAAATCAATGAGAATTCTACTGGGAAAGGGAATGAGTGACTATCAAGATGAAAACTGAACTACAGTACAGGTATTTTAAAGGACATATCAGTGTCAGAAAAGCAAATCTGCCTTTAACAAAATACTAAGAACTCAGTAAAAAGGGTAGATTACTGTGGAGTAAAGTAAACAGAGAGAGCTTTGTAAAGAAGTTGATGTGAAATGGTCTTTTTTAAAAATAATTTTTATTTTTCAGTTACAGTTGACATACAATGGAAGATGTGTAGAATAGCAATAGACAGATGTGATGGACTAGGACATTCTAGGCAGGGCACAGAGGAAGAAGGGGCATGGCATAACTGGAACGATTAGGGAAACAGACCGGAGTTCAAATGCGTGAGGGAGAATCAGTGAGATCAGTCAGTGAAGGGTCATGGATACAGATCCTTGTAGCACTACACATGCATCTCTTCAGGACTGAGTGCCTGTTAACAGCCTCCCGTCTCTCCTGTTATGACTTGCTCATTACTGCTCACGGCTCTTCCTGAAGTCCTGTCCTGTCATGTCACTCTGTCGGTTAAAAATTTTTAGTGGCACCTGCCAACCCTATCAAGTTCAGACCTCATTCAAGATCAAATAGTGTAACAGGAACACGCAGAAGCAGTTTTGTTCCTCTGATCAATTTGTTTAGGAAACACAGGACCTGCCATCATCTATTATAATTTTTTTTAAGTCATAACTTTATGATCCTGGGAAGAGTTTAGGATATAATGTGATATCAGTAAAGACAACAAGCTATGTATAGTATGTTTCCACCTTCCTTTTTTTTCTTGCTTTACAAGTACATATATGTCAGTATATGTGTGTTAAGTCATTAAAAATGTTTGGAAAGAGAGAAATGTTAACAGTCATAATTTCTGAGTGGTGAAATTTTCTTTTGACTTATCTGTATTTTTCAGTTTTTTTCTTAAATTAGCATATATTACTTCATACCAAACAAAAGTTATTAATGAAAAATGGATTTAGCTCTTCTCTCTGTAAAATGGGGATTAAGACATAGTGTAGAAGCCTGGTGAGCAATCAGTAAGTATGGAAGCTGACTGATTACAGCCAGTTGACCTTTGCAAGTTCTTTAAAAGTAGCAAGGCCATTGGAAGTACTCATGGCAACCTCGTCTAAGAAAGTTCAGCCTTCAAGCTGGCCTGAATCTGGGGCAGGGAAGATACCATAATAACAACAACAACAACAACAATAATAATAATAATAAAGTTTTCTCTTTCTACCTTCCAGATTCAAGTCAAACAGAAAAAACTCTAACCTGTAGCAGGAATTATTAATGAGGCCCTTGATAAACCCCTAAAATTGTATGCTAATCTGTGCATATTTACATTTGTGCACACTTTCCAGGAAAGAGTCCTTGCTTTTAAAAAGAAGTTAAGAACTAAGATGAAGGCCTGGAGAGTCTTTCCACTTTCAGAGGATTGTGAGACAAGGCATTTGTGTTTATTGCTAATACCGCTTAAGTCAGACAGCTTTACAACTGGACAGGTTAAAAATGCCAGTGAAGAACCCCTGGTAAAGATGCTACTTACACCCAGAAGTAGTAATGTGTGACTGATGAAAAAATTACCAGAAATAATGCATCCAACTGGATGACATCTTCTTATAATAAATTTCCTCAATGATGTTGCTCAATGTGTCCTTGGAATTCCCTTCAGAGCTCATGACATATTCCTTTGAATTGTCTCAATGATGGCAAATCTTGCCTGTTGGGGCTGAATTTGGGTTTTATCAATGGCCAAATATTACCTAAAATGAATAAAGAGGTAAATACCCACTTTTGGCTACAAATGAGTAAAGGTAAATGACAAGATATTTTCTCAGTTGACTGACTTATTTGGCTAAGCACTTCCAAAAACATTTTAAACAGTGATGACTCTGGACTTTTAATGCCTGTTTGCTTTTATTCTTTCTATCCAGAGTTAATTTTTTGTATGTTTTTTGTTTTGTTTTGTTTTTGCTTCTGTAAAATGGCCAGATACATCGATACAGCTAATGCTTTGGAGCAAGAAACTAAACTGGGGTTACGACGCTTTGAAGTTTGCGACAACGTTGATCTTGAAACTATTTTGATGGACTATGAGAGCTATTATTTTGTAAAATTTCAGAAATACCCCAAAATTGTCAAGAAGGCATCAGACAGAGGTACGTGGCTATTTTCTAGAAATAAAACTTCATCTCATCTTTAAGATTAGCATTTCTTCCACCTTTTATTCCCAGATAGATGGTGCCCCTCAGGCTATTCTCAAAGACTAGATCAGACAGATCCTGTAGCTTCCCTTAGATCCAGTGCAGGCAATGGACATTCCTTTAGTTATGTTGGCATTTGTTTGAAGAATATGTGTCATAGGAACATGAAAACAAAACCTCAATGTACCCCAGATAATTTTTTTCAATTCCAGTTTGCATTCAGTATTGTTTTGTATTGGTTTCAGGTGTACAGCATAGTGGTTAGACAATCATATACTTTACAGGTTCTCTTTAGAAGACCAACATTACTTTCTTTAGCGATGGAAAGAGCTGTTAGAAGAGGGTAAATGACAGAAGACTCTTTTCTTGTTAGGAAGACCTATTATCTATCTTGAAAATATCATGAAAATGAGTACTGGTGAAGCTAATAGCTCATGTATAGATAATGAAATGCTTTTGAAAGCCATCAATCCAGATAGTGATCAATATTTTGCAAAGACCCAGTATAGGTTAGCAGTCAAGGAGGCTGGCTGGAGGAAAGATCTAAAGTGAGGGCCCTATGTTTTGTAGTAACATTGACTTAGAAGTCTGTAAGTGGGGGAAGTAATTAGAAACCAAGGGAGATCATTGTCCTGTTTACAAGGCACTTGTTAAGCCACAGACTTTAACATTTCATGTGGGGACCAGGAAATAAAGAGGAGTGTCAATTAAAAATAGCAAGGGCTGGAAGGGGTCTGAGAGAGAGGTGTTTTATCTGAGCTCCCTTCCAGTGCAGGGGTGAGAGCTCAGGGTCCTTGGCTGGTGGATCTGGGTCTTGACAGAGAAAGCACTAACTCTTAACCGGTCACCAGAACGATTGTTGACATGATCTGATTTCTAAATTGCTAATTCTGATCTAGCTTGGAAACACATTCTGCTGGGATATGGACCCTATGTCTTTCTGTGTAAACTGGCAGAGTACGACTGACAAGTGCTCCCTGCCAGACTCATGGAATCGTCCTAGTGTCCCACAGACCATAGCAAAATGTTGTCAAGCTCATGAAAACCTAATGAAATGTTAACTGTAAAGCTAGTCCATGTTGGAGTTGTCACTAGGTCCATGGTCTCCAACAGGTTTAATATCTGAGGACTTTGGGGTCTTTCTCTACGTGGAAACATTTGGGAAACCTGGGCTTCTTTCTCTTGGCTGGTAATTTCACTTCTATCTAGATAAGAGTAGCTTAGGGTGTTTAAATTCCAAAAGGCTGTAGCACAAATTTAAAAACAATGTAAAAGGACAAACATACCTGAAAAATCACTTTCCCTTAAAAATTGAATTCTTTCCTTTCCCTCCCAATATCTTTTTTGTCACAGCAGAAAATAATTTAACACCAGGAAGTGGAAGGAATACCAGAAGGTAAAGTGAATGGGAATTCATCTTGATCAACTCAACTCTAGGAGTTTGTGGGACCCTTTCCAGAAGATTCTCCAGTGTGGCTCCATGACTGTCTACCAGCAGTACCAGGCTGTGGTCATGTGACTTAGGTGGGCCCGGCCAAGTGTTCCCCTCATGTTACAGATGTCCAGGATGTGCGCCAATGTCTGTCAGTTCTCCTGGTTTTATTGCAAATAGTTGCATCCACTGATGCTGTCATTCTAGGCTCTGTGGTATGAAAAGGATGGACCTCAGAGATTAAAAGACCTGTGTTCAATTTCTGGCTCTGCTTCTGATAAGCCAGGAGCATATTCCTGAAGCATAGTAAGTTCCCAGCACATACTGAGCACCCAGGAAATATTATTTTCCCTTTTAAAATCATACCTGAGTTTCTTTGTGCACTCCCATGTTCTGACCTGCCTGAAGATAATCAGGCCTTTCTTGTCTCCTCTTCTGACTCTTATCTTATATTTCTTTCTATAGCTTCTCAAATCCAAATCTCACTTGGAACTTGCAGCATCTGATGGAGCCCCTCTGTCTCTTGACCATTCTGGCTAGACACAAGGTCCCACCACTCTTGCCTCAGTGTCCTCCGCATTCCCTTCTTTCCACTCCCAACCCACACCCATTGTCAGAGTCTGTTCAGGAACGGCCAGGAGTGCAAGGGCACGGCTGCCAAGAATGGCATAGCTTTGGGGCATGAAGGCCTGTAGGGTTTTGCTATAATATTATGGCTCCAAACCTCAGGGGAAAGTTGAAGTGGAGTTGTAGGGGCCTCACAACCATTCAGTCAGTGAGCAAAATTTCTTTAAATCTTAGAATGCAATTGAAGAAAGCTTAGATTATAATCACAAGCCACTCATTAGGCCTTCAGGAGGTATCCGTTCCATGTGCCCCGCTAAGTTCCCTGCTCTTGTGCCTCCAGTCCCTGGTCTGCAGCCTGAGAGGGAGGGTCAGACACCTCACAGGGCTGTTCGGCATTGTTTATAAAATGGCAGCGGAGCCCCTGTATGCTTCGTGGTAATATTCACAGTCATACTCTGCCTGAAGATCCCTTTGCTTTGCACTATTCTTTAGCAGCAGTTTTATTGTTTTGACCAAAGTGTTTTTCTTTTATTTATAGCTTCCATAAAGCTAGTCAGACTCTGGTAATAAATAACTACTTGTGAATAGACACAGCAAAGAGCATTTAAGAGGTCAGCTTTGGGGAACACATTTGGATTCTGATTATTTTTCAGCCACACATTCATGCTTGGAATCTGCTCAGTACTCCTTATGTGGCAGAACATTCTGTGAGCGAACATCGTTGGAGTGCTTTGCTTCTCTTCTGGGATAGAGCTTGATGGCTTGGGGTTCCTTCAGCTCTTCTCTGAGATGTTTGTACCTGCACAAAGGTTGGGTAGCAAATGGCTGGAGTCAGAAAGGATAACAAGGAATATAATGAATGGTGTTTGCTTACAATTTTATACTCAAAGATGGTTATTGAAATGAGAGGCTGTGTCATGAGACTGACTAGTAACAAATGAAAGTGCCTTTTCCTAATTCCTGCATCTCACACCAGAGAGCAAGCTCCCAGTTTAGAGATTTGCAGCTGACCCCAAGGAGGAAAGGCCCTTTAATGTGATGGATGACAGAATTAGGATGCCAAAAGATCTTGACAGCTTGGAAGATAGGCCCAAAATAACAAGATGAAATTGAATGAAATATGGTTTAAGCTCTAATCAAAGATTCACAACAAATAGCTCCCCCACTACAAAACCTGAGGCCTAGGAATCTAAGTGAACTGCAGATGCAGTGTGAGTCAACAGAGTGGTGTGAGTTCTAATGTGGTCTCGGGTCTCATCAATAGAAATACTCCAGAAAGTAGGAGGTGGCTCTATTCTGGTCAGAAGACAGTGGATTAAGGGAAGGTTACCAGGATGAGTAAGAATCTGGGAGCCAGATGACCTTAGGAATGAGTGGAGAAAATGGGGATGTTTAGCTTGAAGAACAGAAGACTTGGGGTGGGGGTGGTCCCTAGAACAATGCAGTAGCTGTTTTCACTTCTAGAGATGGATTAGACTTCTTTGCAAAATTCCACAGGACACACCTAGGACTGGTGAATAAAGGTTAAGCAGGGTGAATTTGGTTCCATATTAGAAAGAATTTTACAATTGCTAGAGCTGATTGGAAGTAAATTGCGTTGCTTTGCACATTAGTGCACTTGTCTTTGGTCATGTTAAAGTGAATCTGTGTATCAGTTGCCTCCAGTGGGAAAGTAGGCTCCCAGTTCCCTGACAGCCCCACAGGGTATTGAGGCAAATTTAACTCTATGTATCTATGTATCTATGTATCTATCTATCTATCATCTATTTATCATCTATCATCTATCTTCTATCACCTATCTATCTATCATCTATCTATCTATCTATCATCTATCTATCTATCTATCTATCTATCTATCTATCTATCTATCATCTATCTATCTATCTATATCTATCATCTGTCTCTCACCTTACATCATTTAAATCAATGCTGTTCACAAGGGCTGTTCACTTATAAAACGCCTGGTATTTATTTCATAGCTATTTTATTGTTGTGCCAGTGAAAGACCCGAGGGACAGACATTCTTATTCCTGATTTACAGATGAAAACAGATGTCCTGAGAAACAGGCAGCTGTTCACCTCCCATAACATTTACCCCAGTGGGCCCAACACTGGGCTCACCATGTGTGGACACTGGCGGTATTGGTGTAGGCGGTCTTGGTGCCAAAAAGCTCCGTGTTTATATTGGATGTGAATACCTTTTCCTTTCTCATAAAGAAATGGAGTTCAAATGGCAGCTCTCTGAGACCACTTAGCACAGGGGGAGAAAAAGTCTAGAAATACCCCCTGCAAACGCATCTCCCATGGGAGGGCTAAACACTGGGTGATGTGGCATTTTCATTCTGCCCCCAAGCAAGTCCCTCCTCTCTGGATTCCATCTCAAACTATTCCAATGCTGAATTTTACATCTAATTATGAGGATTTAGGTAACAAATGTATTTTACCTCTGTATTGATGTGTAATGTAGATACAGTCAAATGCACATATACCCATAAACTACCACCGCTGGCAGCCCATCAGCAGGCTCCCTTCCCAGTCAGTACCCCCCATCTCTGCCTCAGTTACCCACTGTTCTGACTTCCAGTCCCATTAATTCATTTGGCCAGAGGTATACAATTCTGGTGGAAATTTGTTTTTTGAATAGGAATGACCTGTACAACAGAGGTGAGGTAAGGTTGCTTTCCTCCCACGAGCCCCTTATTGGACACAGCGTGATGGGAGGTATTTTAAGTGGACAGCGTATGCCCAGCACACTGCACTGAAACCATGGGCAAACCTCGAGGATTCCCAATGCTCGGTAACTTGAGTGGAGGATTCCTTCCTCCCCTGTATTTTTCCCCTGGTCTGAGTGCTGCTCTTTTAAAAAGGTGGAAAGAAACAATGGAAGGATGTTTGTAGAGCAATGTGTTCTTGGAAAAATAAAGTTATTTACAGAAGGGCTGAAGTCAGGGGCATGAAAGGGAAATGAACAGAGTGAGTCGGGGGCCTCCAGGAGGAGGCGGTCCCTCAACCCCAGTCTTAGAGGAACCCAGTGGGTAGACTTAGCGAGTCAGGCTTGGATGGACAGGATAGGGGGATGGTGCAGGTGGAAGGGCCCTATTGTGGTGCACCTGCCTCTCTTTCAAGAACTCTCTTTAAGTGTGCTCCACAAGTTGTTTAGTTACCTCAGACTAACTGGTTAAAATAATTTCCTTCAAGGTCTTTGTTTCCTCTCCTAGGGTGATGAGTGACAGCTGTCAAAATCTTCCCAAGGTCAGTCAGCTGAGGCCACGGTCCAAAACCATGGCGGGGAAGCCAGGGGAAGCCAAACACCTCCATAAGGAACACCCTAAACAGGTGGGAATGGCTTTGCTTGGTGTTGGTAAAATCGCAGGTGACTGAGAAATAGCCCCAAGAAAACAGTCACATTTATTTATTTTTTGAGGACCTATGTTTATTAAATTGCTGTATAATTTCATTAAATTATAGATTTTCTTCCAATTCACTGGATTAAAACACAGGCAAATCCCTAGTCTTCCTAGTGTTTCTTAATTTGAGTGGGAGGGCTCCTTCCTCCCCCAGCCTTTCCTGTGGTCTGAGTGCTGGGTGATGGGCCTTGAGGGGGGAGCCCTGAGCCCAGTCTGAGCCTGGTTGCTGCAGAGTTCTTTTCTCTCATTTGAGGTAACTGTAGTTGGCAGACCTTCCTGGCCTGTAGCACATCTCTGGGTTCCTAAGTAGAGGCCAGGGGTAGTTTTGGGTGTGGCTGGGTCTCAGAGGCTCCTGTTGGGTTTTTCCAAAGTGCACACGGTTGGTCCCCACCTCAGACCTCCCCACTGGACTTTCTGGGGGAAGAGATTGGCAATAAGAGGAGAGAGTCCAGCAGGCAAGTGAGACCAACAGCTCCTGACTCAGGAGATCTATGCCTAGAACCTCCTGGTTTAGGTCAAAACACACCAGGTTTCAAAGGAAAGAGAACCAATGGAAATTGTGAAACAATTACTGTCAAAGATGTCTGGTGGGATAGAAAGAAATAATCACGAAAATGAGTTAGTCAAAAGGAATCTCTCACCCTCAAAGGGGCTGGGCTGTCTGGCCATTGCAGTCTAACCCAAGTGGAAGGGCAGTGGATAAATCCCACAGGAGCTGCTTCTCCAAACTCAGCCATCCCTGGCCACAAACATCTCAAGCCACCAGAGAAAAGACAAGCCAGCAAGTGGGGATGGATTGAGGCAAAACTGTCTCTTCTGTTGGAAAAGCTGCTCAGAGCCCGTGGCTTCCAAGGCCAGCTCCTTCCATGTGGCACAGGCAGAGAGTTGATTCCTCTTGGGGCTGCAGAGAAGTGGCCGAATTACACAGGGGGCCCTCCATACACAGAACTGATCTCCGGCGCTCGATCTGGGATGCTGGAATAGGCAGTTACAACGCCAGCAGGGAGCTGACTTCTACCTGTCTTCCTACCTTCAGGAGGCTGTCAACACTCGGGCGGAGGGCGCTGACTTTGGCTTAAATATATCAGGAATCAGAGGCAATGGAGGAGATGCCCGTCCACACAAAGTACGTGGAACTCCTGAACCTGACGCTGAAAGGGGACATTCCTTTATCTTTTTAAAAATGAAAATAAAAATGTTACTTTTGTCAAACAGAAAAGTTAATATGTAATGATCAAAGGTTGGCTGTGAGGTGAACTGGGAAGAGCACTGGTAAGAATTAGAAAGAACCTTGGGGTTCCAGTCGGAATCTCCCTTCTGGAAGAACGAACTTGAATGAACTGCCCCATCTCTAAGGAGCTCAGTTTCCTCATTTGTAAGTTGAGGGGTTTGGAAGAGGCGGCTTCTAATGTTCCTATCAGTAAAACCCCATGATTAAAATGACAAACATTGGCAAGATTGTGCTGCATTATTTAAGAAGTAGCCTCATATGCATTCTTTTCTGCTCTGTCAGTGGTTGTTGATTAGTGGTGTCACCTTTCTCCTTGGAGGTATGGCTTCAGCTAGAAAGTAATTTCCTGTGAACCATGAAGCTTCTGCTGACAGAGAGTTGATTGTGTCCTTGATAGATATTCTACCTCTTTCATGATGAACCTCATGTCCTGATTTGTAAATAATAGTTTCTCAAACAGAAAAGACCCAGGTTGGGTGGATATAGGCAAAAGGTAGGGAAAACATGTCACTTGGAAATGAAAAGCAGCATAACCACCAGCATACCTCTTGATTATAATTTCCAGGGTTGTATTTCTTTAAGAGTCATCTTTCTTTGATCGAGTTCTTCCAGCCAGCTCTTCTCAGCCAAACTCAACTCTGGTTTGTGTGTTTGGAAGGGAAGCTGGAGGCATATCCATGGCAATCAAGGGTACTGTCTCATTGGTCTGAACTGGCTCCTTTTAAGTGCCTCAAATGTATGAGTGATTGAGGGACATGACACCATTCGAGCCAGTGCCTCCCATGGAGAAATATTTCCTTGCTCACCTTCACTACTTTCATTGTGTTTTCAATCACTTTTGTGCCTAGCAGTTTTGTGGCATTAGTTTCTCTCCTGATCCTCTCAAGTTCATATGAATGGATGTTTCTGATCAGGTTATAAAGAAGGGACTATTTAACCCAGCACTTAACCTTTGAAAGAGTCTGGCTATAAATCCTCTTTCAGCAGAAATGTCCTCAGGGTAAAATATACATGATTTTCTCCCTAGCATTTCAAATGGTCACAAGCTGAATGAGGTTGTATGGCCAGGGAGCTGATCTCTACAATGTGTCTCTCATTGCCATGTTAAGGCCCTTAGCTTCAGGATTCCCAAGTCCCCCTTGCAAATTTAATAGGAATGTTGCTCTTAGAGGTAATGGCTTTGCCCTAGCCGGTTTTTCTCAGTGGTTAGAGCATCGGCCCGCAGACTGAAGAGTCTCGGGTTCCATTTCGATCAAGGGCATGTACCTCTCAGTTGCAGGCTCAGTCCCCAGCCCCAGCTGAGGCATGTGTGGGAGGCAACCAATCGATGTGTCTCTCTCACATCAATGTTTCTCTTTCTCTCTCTCTCTCCCTACCAATTGCTCCAAAAAGCAATGGAAAAAATATCCTCCGGTGAAGATTAAAAAAAAAAAAGCTATGACTTTAGAGTCAGCTTGCCTAGGTTCAAACCCCCACTCAGACCTTCCCAACTGTGTGAACTTGGGCAAGTTGTTTAATCCCTCCAAGCCTCATTTCTCTCATACAGTAATCATAGGGCCACTTTAAATGTCATGATGAATGGAGGGCCTTACTGCAGTGCCCAGCACACAATAAACACTCAATAAATGCCAGCTACAGTTATTGTTACTTGTTTTTACACACATCTTTACTTTTTTCTTCTTCCTAGAGAGTAGACAAAGTGTTATTGGAAGGAGTATGAGAGACAGGTATCTGGGTTTGAATCTTGGCCTGAAGTCACTTGTTAGCTGTGTGGCCTTGGGCAGATCACATAATTTCCCTGGCCTTATTTCCACATCTATGAACCTAGGACACCATGACTGACTAGCAGAAGTGTTATAATTGGAAATAATCAAAAGTACAGATTAGTAGTTACAAAATAGTCATGGAGATGTAAAGTACAGAATAGGAAATCTAGCCAATAATGTAATAACTATGTTTGATGCCAGGTGGGTACTGGAATATTGGGGGGAACACTTTGTAAAGTATATGATCACCTAACCACTATGATGTACACCTGAAATTAATACAAGATAATATTGAATGTAAACTAACTGAAAAAAATTTTTTTAATTGAGAAAAGTTGGAAATAATCCTCACAAGGTACCTTGCATACCTGTTTCATGCCAGGTATCTACTGAGTGGTGAAAGCCCATAGTAAACAGGAACTATCATTACTCCTATGCCAATGAGTCCTTCCTGTGTGTGGAATGTTTCAAAAGGCGGGGACAGTGTGGGGAGATAGACATGTAAGGAAGCAGATGGTGTGTGTCAGGAACTGAAAAATGCTTGTGACTTTCAATTCAAACCAACTTCAGTCTGAAGAATTTATTTACAACTTGTGTGTTTTTTTTCCTAGAGTGCCCCAACTCCAGGAAATTACCTCTTTCATTATTAGTACAGGTTCTTTTTAAAGCTTCACTTTAGTTTGCCCTACACACCAAGGAACATAAATGTGTCTTGGTTTAATGAAGCCGAGCTATTAAGGATAGTCTTCCCTCAAGTTTTAATGGTGTAAATAACCATTACATACTCCCTTTCAGGGCCAAATCATTGACTTCCGAGGGCTGCTCACAGACGCTATCAAAGGAGCAACCAACGAGCTTGGCTCGAACAGCTTCGATTGCAACCCAGACCCCTCAGTAAGTGGCTAAAATGTGACATTCATCTTGTAAACTGCCAAAATCCAGAAGAACTTTAGAAGTATAATTTTGAGTCCAAAGAAACCTTGAGATTGGGTAGAAGGTCATAGCAACCTGCCACCATTGGTGTCACTGTGATCCATGCCCTATTTTTCTTCCTAAATCCTGAAGCAATATTATAATGTGAGCTTTCTGTTCTCATGGTCAGGAACGGCTGCTGAAACCTCTGAGTGCATTTATTGGCATGAACAGTGAGATGCGAGAACTGGCAGCCGTGGTGAGCCGGGTAAGATCTGATATTCAATTCACAAATTTACGGAGGCGGACTGGGCTCCTGGAGCATTGCGGGCTGCTTCTTTTATTAATAACAATAAATATGATCATTTATTTATAAAGTGCCCCCACTTGCAAAGGCACTCATATTGTTTAGAGGCACAATAATGCATGATAAATAAATTATAGAATCATAAAATTACAATATAAAAAGCCCACCATCTTACTATAGAGGCCAAGAAAACCAAAAGAGAAAAAAGACTTAGAAAGTAAGGGACAGGTGAAAGGTTTTAGGCTGAGCCAAGAGTTAAAGAAAGAAAACCTCTTAGACGAGGAAAAAGCATGTCTGTGTCTTGTTTAAACAGTCAAAGCCTAGAAATAGAGAGACCAGGAGTCTGATGATTTCATAAGTGGAAGGTTCCATGAAGAACAACTTGAGTAGCAAAGAGCTTACACCCAGACTACTGATGCTTCAAGGCTGCCTGCTCCCCAGAATCTAAGGGCCAGGAAGTCTCCTGGTTAACGACACAGGCTCTGGAATTGGTTGACCTGGATTTCATGCCTAGGCCCTCTTCTTTTTAGCTGTGTGACTTTGGGCAAATTCCTTGGGAATGGAAGAGATTTCTGAGATACAGGAGACTTTCTCATTTCCAGTGATCTCAGATTTCATGAAAGATTGAAATCTAGGCGGGCTCAGACAGATGTTTAAAAGGATGCAAAAAACTACACAGTGACTCTGAGTAATTTGGGATTCCCAGGTCGCTCTTTCAGTCCAGCAGTTGTTCACTGCGTGTCTACTATGTGTCAGGTGTGTGATGGGGCTGGAAACGCAAAGGTGAACCAGTTGGCACAGTCCTTGAGTGCAGAGTTTCTCGCCCCGCGGGCAAGGTGGACTTCGGGAGTGGAAAGGGGGAGTGTTTTGTGCCAAAGGGAGGGGAGGTGTTAGGGAAGAAGATATCCAGGAAAGAGCCACATGAGAAAAGGTATAAAACAGATGGGGAGGGGCGTCCTGGGCAAAGGTACATACCTGTGAAATTGTGTGATTGTGTCATTTCTAGTGAGCCAACTAAGACCTAAGGAGCGCTGGGAAACGGGGCTGGAGAGAGAGGCCAGGGTTCCTGAGTCAGGGCTCAGTGAACAGGGCCCAGGGCGGGGGACCTGCCTGTAGGAGGTGGGGAATCTTTCAAAGGTGTCCATTGAGAATGGGGTGTTCAAATGTGCTTTTAGATAGCTTGCTCTAATGACAGTGTGGTGGATGGATATCAAAGACATGGAGATAAGGAGACCAGCTCTGAAGTTATTACCAGTGAGAGAGGATGAGGGATTGAACCAGGCTGTGGTAACTGGGATGCATAGGAGAGCAGAGAAAAATATTTTTTATGGCCACAGAAATCAATAGTCTCGTTACTGTTTTTGCAAAAGGATAACATGACTAGTGATAGAGTTGTACAGTGGAAGTGGCCTGAAATGATTCCATCTGGAATCCTTTCTACAGTACCCTGGGAGGCAGTCATCTAGCTTCTGCTTGAATGCTTACAGTGAAGGGGAGGTCACCACTTCATGAGGCAGCCGTGCTGAGTTCTGACGGATAACATTTGATTGCTATAAGGAAAAACTTCCTCTTGGGAAATCAAACACAACCATGTGGGACTCAATGTCAACTTTAGGAGAGGGCAAGAAGTAATGCTATTATCTCTGAGTGGCTGGTGGGCATGCAAGTCCAGGCTTTTAAGACACAGGGTAGGTTCTCCCAAGATCTTGGAAGATTGAGTTCCCATCCAGGAATGGATCATGCATATTCTGCATGACTAAAGTCACTTGTATGAGTAGTATCTCCAATCAAAATCGTCACCTGTGGGTGAAGGGAACTAGGAAGATGGAGGACAGGAGTGGGAGCATAACATCTCACCAGCATTTAAAAAATATACTTTTATATTTTTGAACTCATGCATGTATTACTTATTTAAAAATTAAATAACTATAAAAATAGTTTCCAGATTGTTGTGCAGTCATCAGAATGACTTTGGAAAAGAGGCTTTATTTTTTTTAATTTAACACTCTAGCTATTTAGTTTGCCTGAAACAGCTCCTACTAAGAAAGGCCCCTGAGTGACAGTTCTGAGGCGTCTTGTGAAATTGAAGTTTGGAAACTGTAAATGAGTTATCAGTAAAAGCTACCTTAATTGATTATCCTAGGTGGCTGCTACAGGGCTCTCCTCTGCAAGCGGAAAACTCACTTTTGCTTGGTTGTTGTCGCCCTTGAATTTTGTAGAAGCAATTGCTCTTGATGGAAGTAGGGAGTGATCACTAGGGGAAAAGAGAAATTGGTTTCAGAAGAGCATTATCTCTTTCAATCAACAAATTAAGAAAGTGTTTGTGAGATCAAGGAGCAAGAGGGAGGCCAGGCACTGGCTAGGAACTATGTTTTGCAGTAAAGCCTCATGTAATTTGGAGGCATATTCTGTAGCTTCTTTGATTAGGGTCATAAATCAGCATGGTTTGCTATTGACTGAAGATGGGTATAGTCCATCATTAGGAGCCCCCCCCCCCC